ATGTGTGTGTGTGTGTGTGTGTGTGTGTGTGTGTGTGTGTAGAAGCTGAGATGTAGAGGGTTCATCATTTGCTTCATACCACATAGCTAGTAAGTGGCACAACCAGAAATGGAGCTTAATTTGTCTAAATACAGACCCCCTGCTCTATCCAGTAGAGGGTGTTCTACTCACTTTCTTTCCTTGAAATGCAGCTTCAGGGATCCATTTCAGCAGGGTGATTTTGTAAAGCTTCCGCTTTAGTAGATAGAATTGCTATGTTCAAATACATGCCAAAGTGGCCAGCAAATGTTACCTTGTGCAGACTTCTGCCCAGAAAACAATTTCTGGGAGTCACAGTGGAAGTTCTCATTGCCAGTTTTAAAGTACGTTGATTTTTGTCTTTGGAAAAACTGTGTATTCCTGTAATTGGGCTTTGTGTTTTCATATTTCACAGATGTCATTTTCCCCAGATCAGAAGACTTTCTGTGCAGCTGCTTTAATTTGCATCTCCTTTGGTGAAAAAAATCTAAAATGACATGTTTCTGTAGTATACAGGTGTTTCAGAATAAAATATGTAAGAGACAAGGTATCAAATTACTATATGTTTCCTAATATGTTAGTTTTTTGTGCGTGCCGAGACGGTCTGTGGTTTAGCAGGCCAAATTTTGCTTGCTCTTTGAATGTTGAGATGTCCTGATTGCCAATTTATGATTTGTTTTTAAAACAGTAGTGTTTTCTTCTGATCAGGTAAGAAGATAGAGTTTGCCAAAGGTAAAAGTAAAGGTAGCAGAAATGTATCATAAGCTATGGGGAAAAAAGATTATAAGAAAACACTTATGATTAATTGTAAGTTAATCCAAATGTTAGAATATAGCAGAAAAATACAAATAGGTACCTTGTTGTCTTCAGAAGAGGCGTGAGAATAGTAGACTGTTTTAAAGCCCTGGGGAAATAGTGTAGGGAGCACTCTGATGCCACACACACAAGGCAGGATGGTTTCTAAAGTGAAACCAAGGTGGTGGTGGAGGGACACCAAGTGAGGCTGTGTTTCAGGCAGGCTGTACCAACACCTCCCAACAAGAAATGACACGAGGGTTTATGAGATAAAGGCACTCAGTCTAACCCTCCCTACTTTCCAGAATGAGTCCAGTTAGGAGAAGTATTTTGGTATATAGTGCTGCTTCTGCATTAATGGTTATTATCTTTCCAATTAAGGATCTCACAGGTAGGATAAAAGAAGGAAAATATACATTTTCATTGTTCCTCATGTAGAAATATGAGCTATATAGCTTCTTAGTATCAGGAAAAAGTCAGTTATTTTACGTTTCTTCATTTCTGAGAGTACTACACTGGAAAGCTAAGTGCTTTTAAGCTCGTTTAACTCAAGAGTTCCTCTGCAAAATATAAGAAGTGCATTCATTTCTTTCTTTTGGTTTCACTGTTTTGAGATAGGGTCTCACTAAGTTAACAAGTTGTCCAGACTGGGCTTGAACTTGTGATCTTCCTACCTCAGCCTCCTAGAGTGCTGGGATTGTAGGCATGCACCACCATGCCCAGATGCATTCATTTTCTTTAACCTATCAATAGGAGTGCCAGTCTAAGGGAATTAGGGAGGCTGCACTTGGTTCACTCATTTGCTTCACAACTGTGTGAACAAGTTGATACCAAGGTTGATGTAATGGAAATCGTTGTGTGAAGGAAAGTGTATCATTTCTTTCTTTTTTCTCTAGTAGTAGATTTATAAGAAAATACAGTGCTTATTAATATGTGTTCATTGCAGAAAATTTGGAAGAACCATATACTGAGGAAAATTATAATTACCTGAAATTATGTCATGTAGAAATTACTGACAACTTGCTATTTCATTTACATGTATTTGTGTATACATATATATCTAGACTATGTACATACACATTTGCACACATGTAAGGGCATATGGCACGATACAGTACTTACTTTGTGATGTACCCTCTTTTATTTTAAATCACTAGTATTTCTCAGTGTTACTCAGATTCCTTTTACATAGCAGTTTCAAATGACTACATTAATTGTGCATCACATGACTAATTACTGTGGAAGCTTCTATCTTTTTTGCATTTTTCTAAGTAACAGGCATGATTTCATGGCACCACAAATTATTCGACAAAGAGCTGAGATGGCTCTTTCTCAGTAGAAGTCTGAGTATTGAGGGAAGGAGTGTAGCTCGCAGCTAGGGTACGCACTCAGGAGATCTTGGGTTGAGTCCCCAGCACCAAACACAACACAACCAATATCATTTGTTTGAGAACCTAATTCAAGATTCAGAATTTGCAGTATTTCGTTTTTACATTTATCCTGAAATAACTAAAATAAATCTATGCATTTTAAATGCCTGTTTTTGATTGCTGTTCTTACTGGCTTCAGTTTGAGCTTTCATTCACTCTTTTGTGAAAGGTAGATTGCTCAATATACTTTGCAGAATAGGATGGAAATTCTTGCTTTTGTAGTGCTTGCTGTCTGTAAGAAAGTATAATAGTAATTACAGAAATTGTTACACAGTTACACTTGTAATGCAGGTTACAAACTGAAAGTTACAGTGTGCTGCAGGTGTGTGTGTGTGCCAGTTAATCTTAGCTGTCAGTTTGACTGGGTTCGGAGAGCCTGGAGAGCTGACTGGGCCCTGGGCACTGATACTTAGAGTTGCATGAGCTGTTAGGAGGTGGGCCTGTTTGAGGTCGCCACTGGGGACAGCTTTGGAGGGTCTTTCTGTGCTCTTCCCTGTGTTCTGCTTCCTTTGTGAAGTGAGCAGCCTTCCTGCACCAGGCCCTGGGCTGTGATGTTTCTGTCTCAAGTCAACTGACTGTAGAACTGCAGCCTCAGAATCTGTGAGCTGACTAACCCCTTCTCCTTTAGGTTGGGAGGGCAGATATTTTGTCCCAGTGACAGGAAAACTGACTAATACATGCTTGAGGAATCTTAAACTGGAAAGAAAGGAAAACTCTTCAGTTAAAATAAATCTCTTTAATATTGTTGTCTCTTGTTTGTATTTAAAATAGAAAATCTGATTGCTTTATCTGAAGGACTGGACTTGTTTTACACTAGCAAGTTCCAGGATATAAATTGAGTTATTTCTGTCAGCATTGTGGATTTGAAGCAGGTGATTTTACTACCATGATTTAAAAAGACATTTTCTATTCTCATAGCAAGTTATACAAAATAAACAGTGATATAGATTAATATGCTTGGTCTGTAAAGCCCCAGATAAGCACCTATTAAGTCAGTTCTGTTTATGAGGTGAGAAAAGTGAGATGCAAAAGGAGACTGTGCATCATTATGGTGAACTGTAGAAAAGAACAGTTCTTATTAGCTCCTTTTATTGTATATTTGATTGCTCAACAACTTATCAGGAGCCATATGTCAGATAAAGAAAATGGGGGAGTTGTAGGGGTCCAGATTAGAAAAAATGGTGAGATAAAAAGGGATAAGTTAATGTAAACTCTTAGTAAAGAATCTAGAGCAGAAAATAAGTTTAAATGTGTTCAGGTTTTATTTGGAAGTGAAATTGAATTAATAAACTGCTAGCAAATAACTTATGCAATATGGAAAGATTTGAAGATGAAACAGGCATTTTTTTTCCTTTTGCCCAGTACTAGGGATTAATTGAACCCAGAACTTTTGCTCTGAGCTACATCCCTGGCCTGTTTTTTTTTTCTTTTGACATGGAATTGTACGAAGTTGCCCAGGTTGTGCTTGAACTTGTACTCTTCCTTCCACAACCTTCCTGTGTGCTGGGATTACAGATGTGTGTCACATACCTGACTAGGAAGAAAGGGTGTTTAATTTGCTTTATTATGGGAGCTTTAGATTGCAGGCATGTAATGTTCATAAAGAAAAGTGAAGCTGTGGAGAAGAACGCATGCCTGTAATCACAGCAGTGTTGGGAGGGTGAGTCAGGAGGATCACATATTTGAGTCTTGCCTAGATAACTTAGTGAGACCTTGTCTCAGAATAAAAATAAAAGGTGATGAACTCAGTTTGAAAAGCTCCAAGTTCAGTCTCCCGTAAAACAACACAACACAACACAATACACACACACACACACACACACACACACACACACGCAGTGAAAGGATTATTATATTCATGTTTCTTTCCCTTAACTTTGCAGTTGTGAACATGTTGCAGTACTTTTTTTCTCTTCAATAATTATTTTTAGTAAGTTGATTTTGTATATGGCCATCTTAAGAATTTTTACTCTTATCGATCGAGTTGATTTTCTTAGATTTCTCTGAGATTGTTGTATCAGCTGCAAGTAAAATAATTATTTTTTATAATTTTTATAACTTTTGAGATTGTTAAAAACTATAAATTATATTGTTTAGGACCTCTTATGATTTGTTATACATAGGTTGTATATCTCTTATCTAAAGTGTTTGGGACCAGAAATATCTTAGATTTCAGATTTTTTTCTGATTTTGAAATATTTGTATATACATAATGAGATATATTGCCATTGGGACCTAAGTCTCAGTATGAAATTTGTGTATCATATGTACCTTTTACACATAACCTGAAGATTGTACAATTTTAAAAAAAACCATGCATGAAATTAAAGGGAGTGGAATTTTCCATTTGTTGGCAGTAAGAAATTTTAGCTTTTGGATTTCTGGATGAAGATGTTCAACCTGTAATACTACTTTAATGGGACTGTTTCTTATTTCACAATATTGTAGTAATTGTAGTTAACTTCTTATAGGTCATTTTACATAGATTTGGTACTTGTGTTTTAATCATAACTTTCTGAGTATTGTACTTAGAATGGTTTGGAAACTTTTATCACTGTTTTCCTTTTATATGTCTGTGTAGTGAAATATATATGTGTGTGTGTGTGTGTGTGTGTGTGTGTGTGTGTGTGTGTGTATGTATGTATGTATGTATTTTTTCCCCTGACATCAAGCTATCCTTACTTTCTTGAGATTGCTAGTGCTTGGTAATGATACTTAGCCACTTTATATAACTCATATTTCAAATAGATCAATGAATGTAGATGATATTGTGATTAATGAAATATACATGTGTTTATAAAGATACTGCTTTGGGATATTTTATTATTAATATGTTTCCTAAGTCAGCAGATACTGAAAGTCTAGCTCGTGTCACCTGGACAGCTATAGATTTCTTTGTTACGAGAATCCTCGTACTTGAGTGGTTGGCAGCATGTCCTCTGGATACTTCTCAAATAGTCAAATAGCTTTGCTCTCTTCCTGATAGTTTTGTAGGAGTCTGAGATCCAGGTGATAATCTCAGTGTAATAATTAGCATGTCCCACAATCCTAGAATAAAAGACATTTGAACAATTTATTTCAGTTATTCTGCTGCTTTCTGTAACCACAGATGATCACTGATAAAATCTCTGAGGTAACTAATTCCTGAGTTTCACTCTGAGTTGCGTTATATATTTTCTTTAGTGTTTAGGAACAGTGTAGTTAGTGGTAGTTAGTGGTTATTTTCTTCAATGTTTAGGATTGGTTACAATGGCTTCTCCCTTGAATATTTGTCCTTCTTTCCTTTCTTCCTTCCTTTCTCTCTTTCTTCCTTTCTTTCTTTCTTTTTTTTTTTTTTTTTTTTTTGGTTTGTTTGTTTGTGGTTTTTTTCCTTTTTGGTATCGGGGATCGAACTCGCAACCTTGTGCTTGCCAAGCAGGCACTTGTGCTACTAAGCTAAACCCCCAGCCTGATACTTATCATTTCAGCTGTTTCTAAATAGTGTAGAATGTGGATAGAAAATTTCATAAGAAAGTTGGTATTTCTGTAGGACTTTTCCTAACAATCAATAATTATGATATATTATTAATTGTAAAATGTGCCAGCATGTCGAATGGTCGTGTCTAGTACTTGTGGCAAGAATGGCATCCAGGCAGTTAGATTCATCTGGTGGTTCCTGTGTTTTAGAAAGTACCTCTGCGGCTTTGGGAAGTTTTGATATTTTCCTTCGCCATTCTGCAGAGTCCAAAACCCAATATGTGATTCTAGAGTGGAAATACTTTTAATGCCACAAGGCTGCCACACAGTAGGAGGTTTGATTTGAGAGTAAAGGTCACTGATTGGGGTTTTGGCAGTGGTTTGGAAAATGATGTGTGACCCTTCACCTGTACTGCATTTATAAAGGTTGTAATGGCAATTCTGTGAAGGTTGGTTTTTTGAAAATAGCATCCAACTAGTTCTGTATTTAGTGAAACAGAGTGGAAAGATTAAAGAAAGCAGTTGATGATGTCAGTCACAGTTTAGGACTATTCCCAAGTTGCCTTGATCTCTTGAAGTTGATTCATAAATAAAATACTAAATTATTGATTTTATAGCCAAAAGGAACCTGACAAACATTTATTCAATATGTTTTGGTGTTTCTGATGGAGTAAATAATGGAGCTAGACGTTAGGGAAATAAGAATGAATAAAATAGAACTCTTGCTCTTGCAGTCTAGCCTGGAAGACAGAGCACTTGAGCAAATACCATACTTTGGGATAGTCAGTGTTGGAATGGAGGTAAGTTTGCCATGTTTCATAGTTTGCAGTTGCACATAGGAAAGCATCCTGGTGCATCCAGCTCCATGATGGGAGTGCTGGCACTGGCTTCCAAGTCTCTTGACACAAGTCACACTGGGTTGACTTGTTAAGCTTTGCAGAGGATGAATTTACCTCATAGATACATAGGTATGCATGTATTTAGTAGCTCAGTCTGTGCTAACAGCTGTTTGAGTTACATAGACACAGTTTTTGATGGAGTGGGAGTGGGAAGCAGAGATGCGATGGGTCCAGCGATTCTCACTGAACATTTAGAAGCAAAAGCAGTTCATAATGAGTACTTTTAAATCCAGTTATGTTGTTGTATTATCTAACATCTTACCATCTCAGTCCCAGTGCTCAGAATAAAGGCTTAGCTCCCTTTATGGCACTACATCCCTTTTCTTGCCAGAGTCACCTGCATATCTCTTCTTGTGCGGTTTACACTTGAACCTCCACATGCTGGATACTGACCCACTGTGGTTTTCCATACTGTGCTTTTCTAGCTATCATAATTTGCCTGAATCTCTTTACTCTATTCCTGCTCTGCACAGCACCACACCTTACTTGAGATTCATCTGGAGTCATTCTGGGCAGCTTTCCCCATTATAGGCTTGACCATGTGAGGTACAAACTCCACTGCCCAAGTGGCCCTTTGTGAAAATGCCTCATCTCTGAGGTCCCTAAACGTCAGACGCATGCTAGCACTTTGGTACTTAGTAAGCGATTATTGAATAACTAGATGACAGTTTTTAAACTGCTCCTTTTATGGGACAGTACAATTTGTGTATACCCAGGTATTTGTATTATTTTAATTTAATGATTATGCTCTTAGATTGTTTTTCAAGTAAATATAATGATTCTATTTTCCCTTGGGAGAATATACCCTTTGGAGGACATAAAGGCCACCACATTTAAACTGTTCATTAACCATTGAAACGAGTGTGTTCCAATGCTGTTTCATTGGCGTTCTTATACAGCGATCACATACTGGGTGACAGTTTAAGAGAACTTGATATTGAGTGCATCCCATGGGTTAAAATGTATATTTTAAAATGTGTTACTTGTATACCTGTTAGTTATTGTTGCCATGATTTTAGAAGTGGAGATTATATTAGCTCTCCAGTCTATATAGCCATATGACGTGCAAATGTGCCATTGTATTTGTTTCTTTAAATATCTACCTAGGAAGCGAAATTTAAAACAATTAAAATGCAAGCTAAAGCTAATAACAGTTGAAGGATGATTTGTTATTTTTTGCTTCCTATAGGATATTAATAGAAATCGACTATTTGGTTCCAAAAGAAAAAAAAATTAAGAATATTAACTGACTTTTTAAATAAATGAATATCTGTAAAAAATAATGCATATTGATTGTTATTTAATTGTTTTGTGATAATGATAATAGAGGATCTTCCCCTCTTCTTTTGTATCTCTTGCCAGTTATGGAATAGTGAATGTCTTAACTGGGAAGCCCAGATTCAAAGCATGCTTGTAAGGCACTAGGTTGGTAATGAAACTCATCAAATCATAATCATCTTTGGATCCTCAGTCAGGTTATGTAAGTGTTCATGCAGATGAAGTTTTAACTCTGATTTTCCTAAATTGCTTTCCCAGCCATTAAATGGTTGGGAAGGTATTCTCAAATACAGATAAGAACTAAGAATGTACTACTGTTACTTTAAGAAGAAAATTATTAGGGAGGAAGAGGGGGCTGTTTTGATTGCTGACATTTGTGGCCTCCTTTCATTTGCGTAAGAGGTGGACTGGCTTCTCTGGGGCTGTGGTTGCCATGGAGAGGTAGTGGGGGAGGACTCCCAGGACTGCAGCCTGAGAGCCAGTCAGCCCCTGAGCTGCTCCAGAATGTGACTGTGACGTATGGGGCAGGGAGCTCAGGTGTGCCGCCACGCACAGATAATGGGGGATGACTGCCCTGCCACGGCTGGTAACGTGACTGTGCACATACCCCTGGTGTGACAGAAATGTTTGTTGCAAGTGCCTGTGAATTCTGTGAAGTGAAAGGATTGCAGTGTTGTATGTGTTCCCACCCTTCGGTGTGATTTTCTACACTCGATGTGGTTTGATGAAAGAGTTTAAACAGTTAAATCAAATGTCGACCCTAATGACAATAAGAAACTGACACCTCAGTGGCATGTTTGCATCTAGATAAATAATATCAGTATCAAGTCAGATAATTTGTGATAATTTGTGACTAATACACGCAGAAGATCTAAAATGGTAGGTTAAATTGTAACCAGAAATGAATGTGTTATTAACCAAAATACTTAATATATGAATGTTATGGAGCTATATATCTAGCTAATACAAGAAAATTAAACAGTGGAAGTGGTAATTTTTTTCTGTATCACATGTAAAGGAAAATCAGTTGGATGTTTTTAGATGAATTTTGATCATTGCTCTTGGTATATTTTGAAATATTTTTACATCAGAAAATTGTTAAGAGGAGGTTGTAGTATAGTCATTTTATGGCTTTTTTGGGGGGTTGGCATAAATAGTAAAGTGGGTATAATTAGTTTTTACATTTTTTGTTTCCTTAGGGATATCATTGTGGATAACACCTTTGTTTTGAAACAAAAGCGATTGGTAATTTTAGCATAAAATAATAGTTACTACTAAAAGAAATATTTCTAAGTAAAAAAAAATTTCTCCTGCAGAAGCATATTATGTATTAAATTTACAAAATAGAAAGAAATTTATTTGATTTCTCATTTTTCTGAAGAAATTTGAGAGCATAAGGGTAATACTACTTTAACAGCAGTAGAGTCTTTTGTATAGATGAAAGAGTACATTACAATGTTATAGGCATTGTCTACTTAATACATATTGTAACTTATTTTAACAGTGATAACTAGTTGCTTAATTTAATCTATGAAAATTTGCCAAATGAAGTCTTTGTTTTTAAATAAGAGTCTTATGTAAAATATGGGCAGTAGTGATACATAGTTCCACTGAAAATATTTGCAGAAATGAAAAATTATTGTAGAATTTACCTGGAAAGTACTATCTCAAGTTAAACTATTTTGGAAATTGTTCAATAGATAGAGGAGAATTTATGTACACTATAAGCATACACAATATATATGTATGTTTAAAACTATTACTCAGGTGATAGCCTTACTTGGTTTTCAACAATTCTATTTCATTTGAGACATTATAAAGAATAAATTATGTCCTTTTAAATAAGTTATTTAAGGATATGAATACTTAAAAAGTTACTAGGTTTGGATGAGAAAATTGACATTTTTATTATTTTTCTTAATTTCTGAATTGATTCTATGATATACATACTCAACAAGGAGGTTAGAATTAGTTTTGTCAATTATGCAAATTAAAAAGCTAGGAGGCGTAAAATGCTTGAGTATTTAATGGATCATTGTGGGTGAAATATCATGAGTGCCCTCTATATATATGTTAAGTACTGTTCTAAACACATTTCTTGTGTTCTTTATGTAACTTTGTAAGATGCTGTTGTCTTACCCATGAAGTTTCTACTGATGAATAAACTGAGGTTTAGAGGGTAATCTCCAGAATCCTAGAGGTAGGGAGGGATGAAGGAACGTTTGAAACCAGGTCCTTAATTACCATACCTTGCTGTTCCCTGCATGTTAATATTTGAAGAACAGCACAGGCTGGCATACTGAGGAAAGCTTTCTGTTTAGGTGTCTATCTTGGGGTGAATTCCAGGTTTCTTTCTTTTCCAAGTGACTTAACCAGTTACACTTCTTCTGCCTTCAGTTTTCTCTTGTATTTAACAATAGAACATCTATACTACCATGATAGTGCTAAATGTGAAGCTCTCACCCATGGTAGGACCTGTGGCTAAAAATATGTTCTTCTCTGTAATGTTCAAATACAAGATAGTAATCCTGATGTCTTACTGCCATTTGGAAACAGTTAATAGAATAAAAGGAAGAATAAAGAAAACATGATTAAAGTAATGTTGAATCTTTTTTAATTTAGTCAAATAATTAAGGATATACAACAGGGTTTCTTTAGTTTTTTGACCATTTATTTGAGTCAGATACCTTGTTGTGAAAGCTGCCTGTGTGATCTAGGACTCTGAGCAGAATCCCTGACCTGCATCTACTGGCTGCTGTTTACAGCCCTTCTGTCTTACTTGGAACAACCAAAAATGTCTCCTGACATTATGCATATCCCTTTGGGGAGCAAAATCACTCCTAGCTATTAACCATTCGGAGAATTACATAGGCAATAAACAAGTAAGCAAATAATGTGATTATAGATTGTTCTGAGGACATTGATGGAGAAAACCAAGATAAAAATACTCCAAGAGAGGATGACATAGGGAAGAGGTCAGCTTTTGTGAGCAGACACAAAAGCCAGTCACACAGTTGAGTCAGGGCTCCAGGTAAGAGGTGAATGTTCTCGACAGAGGCCAAGGAATATGACTTGCAGAGGGTTTTAGAGGGGAATCAGAAGGCTTGGGGTTTTCCAGAGCATTCCTTCCTGATAAGGAATAAAAGGCAGTGAAGGTTTTGGGATGTGGAAGTGAAGTAGTCTTGAGAGCTGCCATGGACCGGCTTGGCCATGTGCAGCTTTCACCTATGCTTTTTAGTAACCTTAGGCACAGAGGTATTGCAACCTTGGATCTTCATTCTCTGCCTGCCATACTTAAAACCCTCATGATTTGATGGTGTGGATTGAATGTCATGTTGGGGAGTGAGACAACTCAAGCTTTGGTAAAGAGCCACCTTGCATACTACTAGATCCCAGCTTGTCCTTTGCTAGGCTTCTGCCCTTGGTTGCAAAGCTTTCTCCTCTAAGGCATCTATGTGTTGAGTAATTTATTGGCCAGCAAGTGGTTATTTTGTTTTTGAGTCACAGTTTTGAAGTTTACAGACTTCTTGAATTAGTGTGTCCTTCCTTTGGGAGCAGTATATTTGTCATAGATTTTGCAAATGTAGTGCCACAATATTTCAGATTCTCTTTGTGACAAGGCCAGTGGGGACACTGGATGGACTTTCTCCTTTTCTCAGCAAGAAGCCTTGGCAGGCTGTTTTCTGAGGCTAGTTCAGTAAAGCCATCATGAACAGAACTTACTGGTCTTTTGTTAACAGCAGCAGGTAAAATCACCAGGAGTTGTAATTGCAAATTAAATGCTAGGATTACAAGATGTTTTTATTACCAGTTACTTCAGCAGTGTTGCTAAAAACTTTTCCTTTTGACAGAATTATGTTAGTGAAATTATGTGTATCTAAGCATGTCTGTTTATAGTTCCAACAAAGCAAAGTGGAACTTCTTTTTTGAGCCAGAACTGAAGCTTTTGGTGTGTAGGTCTAGCCTAAGATGAGAAGAAAAGAAAAGAGAGAGGCTGCTGTCCTTAAAGCTTCTCAAAGTTCTCATTTATCATCTATATCCTGACCTCCCCCTCTCCCCTACGTATGCACATGTACCCATACCACTTCTTTTCATTGGTTAGATTAGTTATTGGCTGCTTTATTTTTCCCTGGAAAGTGAAATTTTCAGTACACTTTTCCATCCTGATGCCTTTGAGTAGTATTTGAGACACTTGCAGTCTGTTTATTCCCTCTGTGAGCCTTTGTGGGTTCCTAGGGCTTTGCAGATGCTGTTGTATTCGGTTTTCCTATTCCAGAGATGGAGATACACACATAATGGAGAAGGTGAGGACTCAGTAAGGCCACAAGCCAGAATAGACACAAGATAAAAATGCTGCAGTTTGTATGGAATGTGTGATGCTTTGGAAGGCAAAAAATTAATGGTTTTCTGCAATTACTAGATAGACATTTCTGAGGTGAAGGCCTGGGGTAAAGGAGTGACCATGATAGATATTGATCATGGAGTTCATGATTTTGGAGAGTGATACAGATGTGAAACAAGAGTGTACATACTCTACATGTATTTATTGAAGAGGGCATGCTGTTGGTGTATGTACACTGTAAGGGTCCCAGTTAGGATCAGGACAGGACTTCAAGAGCATGTGATGTTAAAGCTCACGCATGAAAAGTAGGGCATTTGGGGCTGGGGATTTAGCTCAGCGGCATAAGCGCCTGCCTTGCGAGCAGGCAGTCGTGAATTCAATCCCTGGTACCGATAAAAATGAAAAAGACAAAAAAAAAAAAAAAAAAAAAAAAAAAAACGAAAAGTAGGGCATTACCAGGTTAGGCAGCATTCCCTGATGTACGTAAAGAATTCAGAGGCGTGTATAGCGCATCAACAGGACCCTGTCTGGGTTCACACCGGGCCTTTCAGCCTGATGAGCTCTGGGCAGTTTGCTTCTTTGTGCCTCTGGAAAATGGAGACCAACTGGGGTCCCTTCCACCTAGAAGTTTCTTGTGAGGGTCAAATAGGTGCATATGAATTCCTAAGAACAGATCCAGCTCATAGAAACCTTTTAGATTCTACCTGCCATTGATACATATAGTGCACTGCAGGGGTCCTTCCAAAAGGCAGTGGTGCATTTCTCCCTTTTTATTTTTATATTTTATTTTTCAGCAGCATTGGCGATTGAATCCTAGGCACCAAGAAGAAAGATTGTTATGATGGGTTCAAATGGTTTACTTGTGCTATCTCCCATCAGTTTAAGGGAACTGCACATGTGTTGATGCTGTTTTCTGATATATTTAAATATATATATCTTAGGGAGTTTAGGGAATACAGAACCTATTAGTTAACCCACAATAATTACATCATAGCTATCCATCATGTGGTCTGCAGTATTGTGACTGCAAAGCACTTTGAGTCTTAAGTCCAGTTGTATTTTAGTATGTTTTCCCAGCCAGATCTCTGTGATGCAGTTAACCTCAGAAAAAATGACAATAGCTAATGAATGACTGGAAAGCCAATTTGAGTTTTGCTTAGTTCAGGCCCATACTGTTACTTTGGTTCAGCATTCTTAGAAATGTTGGGATTAGACAGGCGGTACTGTTGTGAATGAAATTAAAC